GTGGGTGATTGAGTGGGTGGGTGAGTGACTGAGTGGGTGAGTGACTGTGTGGGTGGGTGGGTGGGTGACTGAGTGGGTGGGTGGGTGAGTGACTGACTGGGTGAGTGACTGTGTGAGTGGGTGGGTGGGTGATTGAGTGGGTGGGTGAGTGACTGAGAGGGTGAGTGACTGTGTGAGTGGGTGGGTGGGTGAGTGATTGAGTGGGTGGGTGAGTGACTGAGTGGGAAGTGACTCTGTCAGTGGGTGAGTGATTGAGTGGGTGGGTGGGTGAGTGACTGTGTGAGTGGGTGGGTGAGTGATTGAGTGGGTGGGTGGGTGAGTGACTGTGTGGGTGAGTGACTGAGTGGGTGAGTGACTGTGTGGGTGGGTGGGTGAGTGATTGAGTGGGTGAGTGAGTGACTGAGTGGGTGAGTGACTGTGTGAGTGGATGGGTGAGTGATTGAGTGACTGTGTGGGTGGGTGAGTGACTGAGTGGGTGAGTGACTGTGTGAGTGGGTGGGTGGGTGAATGACTGTGTGGGTGAGTGACTGTGTGAGTGGGTGGGTGGGTGAGTGATTGAGTGGGTGGGTGAGTGTGCCAAAAAAAACCTCTGGAAGGTAAGATGGACAATTGTTGCTAGGAATTTTATGTTATTAAATTTGTTATAACAAAAATTAAATTGTAAAAGTTTTTTTTGTATTTTGAAACGTTTTACAATTTTCAATGTTATTGAACAAAAATATATCAAATATGAAAAATGTTGCGAGAATCTCTTACACATTAGCCATGGGCGAAATAAATGTATCGTGCAACATTCACTGCCATTAATGCAGTGCTACAGTGAAATGCAGCGAAGTGTTTGATGACGTTATTTCTGTCAATATTCCCTGCCATTACATTGAGACAAAATAAAATTAGACTCTGATCAATTTATTGGTAACTCTACCGCTTCTCTTTGCTCTTCGTTATTTCCTAGGTAACTTCAGACAGCATCAGCCACACTCACGTTTCTTCACTCTCCGCTATCAAGCAGCGTCCATCGGAGAAGATCAAATTCATTATGAGACCTCCTTTGCCAGTAACAATATATAGTAATAGGTTTTACCCTTTTAACTGGCAGAAAAACTGACACCTTTATTCAAAGCATCATGTTTGCAATAACCACAGCACAAGCAGTCAAAATGCAAACAAAAGAGACAACTCTGATAATAATATTGGCACTGTCCTTGAATTTGATTGGTCCACACGCGAGACGGCTTTTCTTAGAGCCTAGTCTCCACTGGTGTTGGACCAGAAGACGCCAAAAGGCGTACAACTCAAAAACAGCGTACTATCAGAGTATTGAGGGCTCGGGGTGAGCATTTACAACCTAGTAATAGTTTTTACCCTTTTTATTATCAGAGTTGTCTCTTTTGTTTGCATTTTGACTGCTTGTGTTGTGGTTATTGCAAACATGATGCCTTGAATAAAGGTGTCAGTTTTTGTGCCAGTTAAAAGGGTAAAACCTATTCCTATACTAAGATCAAATTCGTCAGTTAACAGCTTCGGGTGATTGAAAACAGCGCTAAGGTGAAGTTACGGGGGGGGGGGGGGGTTGTTCAAATTGCGCAGCAGGCACAGAGAATGTTCCCCCTTCGTCTATTGTGGAAGATACAGAAGACTTCCCTGATCAACAAATTAAACCAATTTCAATGTTTATTTTGCCTCTATCAGCTACATTTGGCCCCAATCATACACGACAAAACGTTGCGCCTTTTGGCGTCATCATCACCTGGTCTAACACCGCAAGTGTGAGACGTCATCATCATCTGGTCTAACACCGCAAGTGTGAGACATCATCTGGTCTAACACCGCCTGTGTGAGACGTCATCATCACCTGGTCTAACACCGCAAGTGTGAGACATCATCATCATCTAGTCTAACACTGCGTGTGTGAGACGTCATCATCACCTGGTCTAACACCGCAAGTGTGAGACGTCATCATCACCTGGTCTAACACCGCAAGTGTGAGACGTCATCATCATCATCTGGTCTAACACCGCAAGTGTGAGACGTCATCATCATCTGGTCTAACACCGCAAGTGTGAGACGTCATCATCACCTGGTCTAACACCGCAAGTGTGAGACGTCATCATCACCTGGTCTAACACCGCAAGTGTGTGACGTCATAATCACCTGGTCTAACACCGCAAGTGTGAGACGTCATCGTCACCTGGTCTCACACAGGTGTGAGGACGTCATATCATCCATCCTGGTCTAACACGCAAGTGTGAGACGTCATCATCATCTGCTTTAACACCGCAAGTGTGAGACGTCATCATCACCTGGTCTAACACCGCAAGTGTGAGACGTCATCATCCACCTGTCAGTCTAACCACCGCAAGTGTGAGACGTCATCATCACCTGGTCTAAACCGCCGTGTGAGACGTCATCATCACCTGGTCTAACACTGCGTGTGTGAGACGTCATCATCACCTGGTCTAACACGCAAGTGTGTGGACATTATCATCATCTGGTCTAACACTGCGTGTGTGAGACGTCATCATCACCTGGTTCTAACACCGCAAGTGTGTGTACATCATCATCACCTGGTCTAAAACCGCAAGTGTGAGACGTCATCATCACCTGGTCTAACACCGCAAGTGTGAGACGTCATCATCACCTGGTCTCACACAGCGTGTGAGACGTCATCATCATCTGGTCTAACACCGCGTGTGTGAGACATCATCATCACCTGGTCTAACACCGCAAGTGTGAGACGTCATCATCACCTGGTCTAACACCGCAAGTGTGAGACGTCATCATCATATGGTCTAACACCGTGTGTGTGACGTCATCATCACCTGGTCTAACACCGCAAGTGTGAGACGTCATCATCACCTGGTCTAACACCGCAAGTGTGAGACGTCATCATCATCATCTGGTCTAACACCGCAAGCGTGAGACGTCATCATCACCTGGTCTAACACCGCCTGTGTGAGACGTCATCATCACCTGGTCTAACACTGCGTGTGTGAGACGTCATCATCACCTGGTCTAACACCGCAAGTGTGAGACATTATCATCATCTGGTCTAACACTGCGTGTGTGAGACGTCATCATCACCTGGTCTAACACCGCAAGTGTGTGACATCATCATCACCTGGTCTAAAACCGCAAGTGTGAGACGTCATCATCACCTGGTCTAACAACCTACCGCAAGTGTGAGACGTCATCATCACCTGGTCTAATGCCGCAAGTGTGTGACGTCATCATCATCATCTGGTCTAACGCCACAAGTGTGAGACGTCATCATCATCTGGTCTAACACCGCAAGTGTGAGACGTCATCATCATCTGCTTTAACACCGCAAGTGTGAGACGTCATCATCACCTGGTCTAACACCGCAAGTGTGAGACGTCATCATCACCTGGTCTAACACCGCAAGTGTGAGACGTCATCATCACCTGGTCTAACACCGCCTGTGTGAGACGTCATCATCACCTGGTCTAACACTGCGTGTGTGAGACGTCATCATCACCTGGTCTAACACCGCAAGTGTGAGACATTATCATCATCTGGTCTAACACTGCGTGTGTGAGACGTCATCATCACCTGGTCTAACACCGCAAGTGTGTGACATCATCATCACCTGGTCTAAAACCGCAAGTGTGAGACGTCATCATCACCTGGTCTAACACCGCAAGTGTGTGACATCATCATCACCTGGTCTAACACCGCAAGTGTGAGACGTCATCATCACCTGGTCTAACACCGCAAGTGTGAGACATCATCATCATCCGGTCTCACACCGCAAGTGTGAGACGTCATCATCATCTGGTCTACCACCGCGTGTGTGAGACGTCATCTTCACCTGGTCTAACACCGCAAGTGTGAGACGTCATCATCACCTGGTCTAACACCGCAAGTGTGAGACGTCATCATCATCTGGTCTAACACCGCGTGTGAGACGTCATCATCACCTGGTCTAACACCGCGTGTGAGACGTCATCATCACCTGGTCTAACACCGCAAGTGTGAGACGTCATCATCATCATCTGGTCTAACACCGCGTGTGAGACGTCATCATCATCACCTGGTCTAACACCGCGTGTGAGACGAGGCTCTAAGGGAAGCTGTCTCGGGTGTGGACTTATCAATTCCACCGCCAATGCATTATCAGAGCTGCGTGTTTTGTGTTTGCATTCCGACCGCAGGTATTGTGCTCAATGCACAAACAATGACTCCTTGTATACGAAAAAAATGGTGTCAGTTTTGTTGCCAGATGAAAGGGTTAAAAAAAAATAATTATCATATTGTGTTACAGGCAAACGAGGTTCCAATGGTGGAACAAAACGTTAATTTAGTGTAGTGTATAGTGTAGTGTATAGTGTAATGTAGTGTGTAGTGTAGTGTGTAGTATATAGTGTAGTGTAGTGTATAGTAGTGTATAGTGTAGTGTATAGTGTATAGTAGTGTATAGTGTATAGTGTAGTGTATAGTAGTGTAGTGTATAGTAGTGTAGTGTATAGTGTAGTGTATAGTAGTGTAGCGTATAGTAGTGTATAGTAGTGTATAGTGTAGTGTATAGTGTAGTGTATAGTAGTGTAGTGTATAGTAGTGTATAGTGTAGTGTATAGTGTAGTGTATAGTAGTGTATAGTAGTGTAGTGTATAGTGTAGTGTATAGTAATGTATAGTAGTGTATAGTGTAGTGTATAGTGTAGTATATAGTGTAGTGTATAGTAGTGTAGTGTATAGTGTAGTGTATAGTGTAGTGTATAGTAGTGTATAGTAGTGTAGTGTATAGTAGTGTAGTGTATAGTGTAGTGTATAGTGTAGTGTATAGTAGTGTATAGTGTAGTGTATAGTAATGTATAGTGTAGTGTATAGTGTAGTGTATAGTGTAGTGTATATAGTAGTGTATAGTAGTGTAGTGTATAGTATAGTAGTGTATAGTGTAGTATATCTAGTAGTGTATAGTGTAGTGTATAGTATAGTAGTGTATAGTGTAGTGTATAACGCAGCACGCGTGAGACCCACCCAGCTCCTCCCACATGGCACGCTGGCACGCCAGGAAGCCGTCACGGATGGCGTGGCAAACTCCCGCGGGGTCGGTGGCGCCCCACAGCCCGGGCTGGGCACGGATCGAGGGCCAGAGGCAGCGGCGGGCGAATCGAGCGGCCTGGGGGCCGCCGTGGCCGTCGAACACGGCCAGGAAGATGGCGTCCCCGTCGCCCTCGGTGGAGACCTGCGGGCACGGGGCGGCGAGGGGAACGTCACGTGACGCGAGCGGTGCATTGTGGGTCGGTCCTAGGCCTCGACCGGCGACCCGGCGGACAAAGATCCCCCGTGCAGCCTTGGCGGACCGTAGAGGCGAGTGCCGTTAGCGAGCGGCGCCAGCGATGGCCGCGAGGGCACACGAGGGGGTGGGTGGCCGGCACCACGCCCGGCCGCCTTTGTCTCCCCGGTGGCGATGTTCACGCACCGCACCGGGTACTCGTTTGAGGCCGAATCGACCTAGGGGGAGGCCCAGGACCGGTTCAGATAATCGCCACTGGGTGTTGGCCGTGAGCGGGAATCGAACTCGGGGTCGCCAGGTTCATAGTGCAGCGCGCTAACCGCTACACTATCGCTCCCCACACACACAGAGACACACACAGAGACACACACAGAGACACAGAGACACACACACACAGACACACACAGAGACACACAGAGACACACACACAGAGACACACAGACACACACACAGAGACACACACAGACACACACAGAGACACACACAGAGACACACAGACACACACACAGACACACACACACACAGAGACACACACACAGAGACACAGAGACACACACAGACACACACAGAGACACACACAGACACACAGATACACACACAGAGACATACAGAGACACACACAGACACACACAGAGACACACAGAGACACACACACAGAGACACACACACACAGAGACACACACACAGACACACAGACACACACACACAGACACACACAGAGACACACACACAGACACACACACAGAGACACACACAGACACACACAGAGACACACACACACAGAGACTCCGCCCACCTCTGTGATGTCCTCCATGTAGCGCCGCCCCCCACGGTTGGAATCGGCGCTCACGATCAGCTTCAATGGGCTCGACATGGTGCAACCTTAACACACACACAGACAGACACATACAGACACACAGATACACACACACACATACACACACACAGACACACACACAGAGACACACACAGACACACACACACACAGACACACAAACAGACACACACACACACAGACACACACACAGATACACAAACACAGATACACACAGACACACAGACACACACACACAACAACCTGTGTCTCTGTGTGTGTGTGTCTGTGTGTGTCTTTGGTGCAACCTTACCCCACACATACACACACAATAACCTGTGTGTGTCTGTGTGTGTGTCTCTGTGTGTCTCTGTGTGTGTCTCTTGTGCAACCTCACCCCACACACACAACCTGTGTGTGTGTGTCTCTGTGTGTGTCTGTGTGTGTGTCTCTTGTGCAACCTCACCCCACACACACACACAACCTGTGTGTCTGTGTGTCTGTGTGTGTCTGTGTGTGTGTCTCTTGTGCAACCTCACCCCACACACACAGACACACAACCTGTGTGTTTGTGTATGTCTGTGTGTGTAGTCGTGCTCTCAGTGCGGGCTACTCACAACACTGATGACAAATGTCGCCGTGACTACCACGTTTTTGCCGTCGTAAAATGACAGATTAATAATAAACAAAAATTAGGTTAATAATGAAAAATGACAGATTAATAATACACACAAATTAGGTTAATAATGAAAAATGACATATTAATGACAGGCTCATAATCAACAATGACAGATTAATAATGAAAACCACAGACTAATCATGGAAAATGACAGATTCATAATAAACAGAAAAGCCTTAAAGCCCTAAGCGTGTTGTGGTGGCAGCAGCAGCAGCAGCAGTGACGAGGCACACCACGTGACGTTGCTGGGGCAAGCCAGGGCAAGCCAGGGCAACACACGCCTCACACCACACACACAGCCTCACACTACACACACAGCCTCACAGTACACACACAGCCTCACACTACACACACAGCCTCTCATTTACACACCGACCCCCCTGGTTCCATCTGTGGGGGGCTAGTGCCCCCCTCCACACTCCCCATTAGGTGGGGGGGACTGATCTCCCCCTCCCCACTCCCCATTAGGTGGGGGGGGACTGATCTTCCCCTCCCCCCTCCCCCGCGAGCGGGTGGGGTGTGACGTCAGCACCCCTCCACCCCCCCCACTCGCCGCTGGCGGCTGCTCAGAGTTAATTATTTATTTATACTAAGCCGTTGTGTCAACAGCCAACGGGGGCTGGACGGCCCTCCCCCACCCACGTGACCCCCCCACCCACGCGCGCGACCACCCACGCGCGTGGGTGCGGGCAGCCGTAGTAGGGTAGTTTAATATGCACGCGCTGGGTAAGCAATTAATTAATTAATCTCTGCGCGCGCTCGGTAAGCAATTAATTAATTAATCTCTGCACGCGCTCGGTAAGCACTTAATTAATTAATCTCTGCGCGCTCGCTTGCGGTGAAAGTCAAACGTCCCTCTGTTTAATTATTTATTTACGGGTGCCTATGCTGATTAAAGCCACCCACACACACGCACAGCGTGGTACGCCAATCGCTGTCCCACCGCTCTTCACAAAGATCCCCCATATAGCCTTAACAGACTGTAGGGGCAAGTGCTGTTAGCGAGCAGCACCTATGAAGGCCGTAACCGCTCTTCACACACACACGCACGCACACACGCGTCACAAAGTCAGTCTGCGCTAAAATTTATTTCCCGTGTATGTCTCCCTCCAGCCAGCAGCAGCCCTTCCTCCTCTCTCACCTACCCGTCTCAGAGTGCGTCCACTGCCTGAGCCCGAGCCGACCGAACTGACCTCCTTTGTCCGTGTCTGCCGCTCACCTCTGCGGCCGCTGCCGCCGCTGCCCGACGGGGCCGAGGGAGATGTTTCTCTCTCTCTCTCTCGCCTTGGGGGACTTTGTGTCGTCGATCGCTCTCAGCTCCACCCTGCAGGCGTCCCGAGCGCGGACCCTGAGGACGGCTAGCTCCTCTCTCTCTCCGCTGCCGCCGCTCCAGAAGGACTCTGCCACAAATTCTCCCTCCTGCACCACACTTATATATGTAGCAAGCCCCTTAACCCCGCCCCCCAACCCCCCCGGGTCATGTGACGTCATCCCACGCATCCAATCGAATCCTCTTTGCGGCCGTTAGGAGCGCTCTAGCCGTTGGGGATGGGGGGAGGGGGGAGTCACGTCATCCCCCTGTTGTATATATAGGTGTTATGAAAATTGATGAAAATAATGAGAATTAAATGAAATTTGCATAATTTATCCGAAATTATGTTAATTGTGTAATTATGCGCATAAATTATGCTGATTCGAGAGATAATCGTATTAATTTATGCGAGTGGGCATGGTTATGATAATTCAGGTCATTATGGATTATAAGGTCGAGCCTCGGTGACGAGGATTGTGTTATGATTTGGAATAACGCAATTAATCGTATGCAGTGACGCAGGCGTTGTGAGCGTGAATGAGAGAGAGTCGATTCCACTCTGCTCTTTAATTCCGTATTATCGATAAGGATACGATTACTCTCGATTGAACATTATGAATTATGTGTTATGGATTATGTGTGGTGATAGTGTGCTTATGATAGGTCCCCAGGATTCAGATCTCATACGCAGAACAATATTATGCAGAATTTCAGGAAGAATCACACACAAACCTGCTTTGATCAATTTTATTTTCTAGCTAACTTTAATTTTTGGATAATATGAAAACTCAATCTCGGGATGTTGGAATTTCAACACAGCGTTAACATGATACCATCACGATTGCGTTGTTTCACCTCGATAGCGGCACCTGTGGTTAATTCCCGACGCGTAACGCAATCGATCGGTTGTTGAGAGAGAGATTAAAAACAAGCGAACTATTCTATCAAAACCTTGACCTTATAATATGCAAACTCGTATTCTTGAATGATTACACAACACGGCACTCGGTCTTTGATTCGTATCCAATCCTTAACACATTCTGATATGCGAAATTATTATGCTTGAAATCGTCAGCACAGTACCACGGCGATGTTCGTTCATTGATTCATCAACGATTATGCAATTAAAGCGTTCTACTGAAATAATTATGATTGCCTCATCAACGTAACTCAATGGGTGGGGATGTTTTTCGTTATCAGCTAATAGTTGACGCAGTTATCATGAGTCTTGTATGTTTAATGGGAGTGTTGTTGATTTCTTGCGTTGAGCAAACGCCTAGGTTGATTTCCTTGCCAAAAAAAATGTTTGTTCGTTGTGTAGCGGTGGGGGAGTGAGAAGGGAGTGTGGGGGAGGGGCATACGAACGACTGCCAGTTTCTGTCCACCGCTGGCTGGATGAGTCAGCACGACGCTCGCCGTCGTCGCGCCGACGACGGTGACGCGAAGTTGCGTGCTGTAGCACGCTGGTGGCACGCTGTTGGCACGTGCTGGTGCTGATGCTGATGGCACGCTGGTGGCGCGCTGTTGGCACGCGCTGGTGCTGATGCTGGTGCTGATGGCACGCTGGTGGCGCGCGCTCCCTCTCCTTGAAGATGCGCGAACGCGCCCGTGCTGATTCGCTGACAGCAGTTTCCTCCACTGCTGGATGAGCTACGCCGCACGCTCTTGCTTGGCGTTGCTGGCCGCGCTCTTTCTCCTTGAAGATGCGCGAACGCGCCCGTGCTGGTTCGCTGACAGCAGGTTTCCTCCACTGCTGTATGACTCACTTTTGTTGATACATCGCGACTCAGCGATCCTCGCTACTCAGCGAGGCTCGGAGCCAGCCGCTCCATGCGACTGCTCGTCCTGTGGACGTCTTGACTCGCTGATCTGTCTTGACTCTTGACTTAACTTCACTCTTTTGAAAATGCGGCTGACCGTTATATTCAAAGACAATTCTCTCTGCGCAGTGGAAAAGGGGGGGGCGGGGTCTGTGTGTGTGAGTTCGTGTGTGTGTGTGTACAGATGGCTCCTGCGATAACGATCTGTTTGCCCTGGCGTGAAATTCCTCTCTCGCGCTCTTCGGGAGAGACAACGGTGGTAGGGAGTACCTATCTCTTTATACTTTCGACTTTATATTTCTCAAATACCATTTGGTCCCATGTTCGCCAAGACTCGTGTTTGTAACTACGTCCTCCCGACACCCCTCTCGGGTTACCGAGGTTCGCATTGATATGATGGAGTTATTAGAAAGAAAAATAATTTTCATCCTGAGTTTAAGAGGTCCGTTTCCAGATTGTTGGAATCCATATCCCTTGGTTCTGTAAGGTTCTATAATGGAATATCGTTTAAGGTTAACACGTTGTTATTATTATTATATTGCAATTTTCTTTAAAACTTTGTTTGCCTGGTTGCTGTGTGTGGGGTGGGGTGTGTCTCCTCATCAAACCCGGCTGGCTTTTCCAGATGGCCCCTTGTGATAAGGTGTAATTCCTGCTTCTCCGCGCTGTGAGAGAGACAAAGGTGGTCGGGGTTGCTTGGGATATTGTTTAAACTCTTTCGTAAGTTTGCCCGTTCGCCTCATTCCTTCTCGAAAACCTTTGATGTGACTGTATTTTGTCTCCAAGCTTTGTTTTAAGAGTAAAAGTATTAAAGGTGAAAATCATTTGATAGCGAATTAATTATTGGATAATAATTCACTGATGTATCTGGTGGCCTGGTCTTAATTGGAGTGAGCACGAGGACCGCTAACTTTAGCTTATTCTTGTTATTGCATTTTAAATTTTAACTGTTGTTTAAAAAAAAATGGTTTAACCCGTGGGCGTCCTCATTTCTGGCTTGCGGAGGGCTTCCCTCTGCGTGACCTCCCTTAGGGCACATCAAACTCTTGTTAATCTGGAGATCTTCGCAGATAGCTGCTAACATCCTCGCTTCGAGAGTTTTATTATTTCTTTATTTATTAATGGCCTGTTTATGACCGACATCTGGTTTTTCGTGCGCCTGGCTTACGGGTTTTATTGATTATTTTTTTCGTTTGTTAAAAAAATATATGATATATATAACGGCAAATATTATTGTTAATATCAATTTTCGAAAAGGCTCATATACAACAGTTTTGTT